GTCCTCCCTGCTCCACATAGCCTACCCACTACAACCTGGAGGAGGCTTAGTAAGGAGACACAGCGTTAACTTGTGGATGCTCGGGGAGGATGCAGGTCAGATACGCTGGGGAGGGGAAGGATGGGATGGCCAGGGGAGAAAGGGCGTGGTTGTGCTGGGGCATGAGGAGGGGAATTAAATCTCAAATTAGAGGACCTATAACCAACCCACCCTCCTACCTGCTCCTTCCTCCCCACAAATTTAGCTCACTGTGTGGAGTACTTGGTCAACCTCACTGCTATTGCTATCATTCATTCATCCATTTAACAAATTTGTACTGAGTTTCTACTTTGTGCTGGAACCATGCTGGCTGCCTTGGACACAGCAGGAGAAAGACAAAGTCCTGACATCATGAGGGTGATGGTCCAGTGGGGAGGGAGGAATGATAAATCAAAAAAAGAAACATTTAATATTAGGTCAGATGATGGTACTTGCAGCACAAAGATAGTACAAAATAGGAAGTGACCCCAAGAAGTGTGTTACTTCATATACAATGGTGTGTGTATGTGTGAACTCTCCAAACAGGAGAGGATAGCAAACCGCATGAACACTGGGGAAGCAGAGTACTCTCAGAGAACACAGCCAGGCAAAGGCCCAAAGAGAAACAAGCTTCAGCCATGTTAAGAACAGCCAGAATGGGCGTGTTGACAGATAGTAAAAACGTTGACCAGCTACAACTGCAGGTTCTTCAGACCCTATGGCCTCTTTTATTATAGTTATAACTTTACACTATAAACATTAAATGTAAACATGTAAAAATACAAATAACTGAAACTTTATGTGAAAGATTGATATACAAAATAGAAAAAAATTACATACTCCAATATACAATCATACAGTACATATTACATTCATATAAAATAAACATTTTTATTGTAATAAGGAATATACAATAAATTGTATTACAGTGTACTATATTACAAATATACATTATTATAGTATATAATGATATGCAGTATAAAATTATAACTAATGTACAAGTCTAATTATGTATAGATATTTATAATCTAATTTCTAATAAGAAGTCTTTTATCAAACATCATTTAAATTATCACACGGTAAAACATAATACTTTTGAGATTCATCCACGTTGTAACTTGTGTCAATGAATCATTCCTTTCTCTGGTGTCATAAATCAGCCTTTTTATGGCTGAGTAGTATTCCATTGTACAGATGTACTACACTGTGTTTATTCACCCACTGATGGACATTTGGGTTGTTTCTAATCTTTTGGTGATTATGAATGCAGTTTCTGTGAATATTCGAGTACATAATTTCTCATTTCTCTAGGATAAATACCTAGGAGTGGGATTGCTGGGTCATAGGATAAGTATATAGTTAACTTTATAAGAACTTGTGAAACTTTTGTCCAGAGTGGAGATACCATTGTATATCATTCCCATCAGCAATGCATGAAAGTGTCTATTGCTTTACATCCTTGCCAACTTTTGTACCGTTATTTACTGCCATTCTGATAAGTGTGTAGTGGTATGTCATTATGGTTTTAATTTGCATTTTCCTGATGACTAATGATGTTGAATGTCTTTCCATCAGCATATTTCCATTTGTATCTCATACAACCATATGGATGAATCTCAAATACACTAAATGAAAGAAGTCAGACTCCAAAGGAGACACATTTTTACATATATATGGATACACACACATTTATATGACATGTGAAAAAGGCAAAACTATAGAAACAGGAAACAGATCAGTGATTTCAAGGGGTTGGGAGTGGATAGAGAGATTGATTAAAAAGGGATAGGAGGGAATTTAGGGGAGTGAAGGAACTGTTCTCTTGGTTGTGATGTTGATTACATGATTGTACACATTGGTCAGAACTGTACACTTTTAAGGGTGACTATTACTGTGTGTAAATTATACCTCAATAAATCTGACTTTAAAAATATCTCAGTACTATAATATTATGTTACAGTAAATATAAAAGAGAAATAATTGAAAGTAATTTACAATAAAATAACATACATTTCCCTCTGTGAGGTTTTGGTACAGCCATACAGAGGTTGGTCTTGTGTCAACTTATAACTAGTAATATCATTAACAACAGGGACCCTCTCATTGGTCTCCACTAGCCCTACTCCCCTCGAGTGACCCATATTAAGTCACTTCATTCTCCAAAACTCTATTTTACAGGTGAGGCAACTGAGGCTTGGGGGAGGTTACTGGGCATCAGGGTTGGCACCTGGATATTAATCCACGTCGACAGCTTTCACTATTCTGCTTGTTTCATTCCTCATGTAGTAAATGGGAAGCTGTTTGTGATCTCCTGGGTCTCCCAGATCCTCCCCAGCATACTCCAGACCAACAATTCCCTGGAGGGTGTCTATGAGGCTAGGTCCTTATCCTCATCCCTTCTCCATCCCCCAGGGTTCCTGTCCAGGCAAACAGTGGGGACTTGGAGAAGCAATACTGGGGGACTTGCAGTAGCCACACTAAGTGGCTTCATGAAGCAATGTGGGCAATGGGGAATCAGTAGACACTGTGTTACTGGGGGCCAATAGGGAAATAGCAGACATTACCAGGATTTAATGGAAGAGTCACAGATACTGTATTAGTGGGTAATGGTCACCAACGGACTTTGTGCCAGTTGTTAATGGGGGTCCTACAGAGATGGTTAATGTGAAGTTTATGGTGCCTTATCAGTCATTGCCCTTATCTGGGGAGAGGGAAGCAGTTAATGGCACACACCAGTGTTCAGAGAGTATAGGGGGCATCACCACATACTGTGTTGGGGATGGTTACAAACACTGCTAGGTGGAGTAATGGAAGATAACGTCACCATCATTGTGATGGACAACAAATGGAGGGAAACACAAGCCATCCTGATAGAGGTGTAATGAAAGAATCAGGAGATAATGTTAAAAGTTGGATTAGGTGGGGTATATCATGGTTTCCTACTCTGAGGATTGTAATAAGCAGTCATCAGTTACTATTTGGTGAAAGTGGGAATAAATGGGGAGTATGGAGGTTACCAGACTGTTTCACAAATGTGGTGAAGTAATACACATTATGCTGGAGGTAACTGGAAGAGGTAATGAGAAGATCTCCAGACACTATTTCCTGTAATAAGAGGTGACAAACACAGTGATGGAGTAAAGTCAAAGGGGGATAATGGAGTGTGTCCAGACATTGTGCTGGGGTAGGTTAAGAAGGCTGTAATGGAGAGATCTCCAGACACTCTCCTGCGGGATCAGCAAACACTGTCCTAAGCTGGAGGAAAATTGTGGGTCATAAAACATTGAGTGAAGCCCCAGTAGTGCTGAATAAGGTAAAAGGGGGTAGTGGGTCACCAGATACTGTTCTAACATAGAGAAGGGTGTACAGTGGCTCATCAGATACTGTGAAGGGGTGAGATAAAGGGGAGCTAATGATGGATTAGACATGGATCTAAGGTGTGGTAATGGGATATGTCACTAATCACTGCCCAGTTTGGGTGAGGGGATTACAGGAAAATCCTTAGACCTGTCCCCTTAACCAGATTCTGTCCCCATTCTCAACCCTCATGCTGCTATTCACAAAGGTGAGAACATTTCTGTACAACCCAACTGTTTCCCACTCTCAGTGCTGCCAATGGACTGACCTGAAGGAACCATTTTGCTGGTTCATTTGGCCACCCAGCAGCTGAGCTTTCAATCAGATCCTCTGCATGCATCTGTGAGACCACTGTTGCCCCCGTCTTAGGTTGCACACCTAACTTCTAAGGAAGGTCAACCCATCTCTGCTCTTGGCCTCTCCATATTATTAGCTTTGGGCATACCTGTCAGGGCATGATAAGCAGGTCTGTAGGTCAGGTTACGGGGTAGACAAGGCCCCATCAAGGTGCAATTGGGGTAAGGCAGGACTGTGCATGCTTGTGCAGTGAGTGGGCTCTTTTGTGATCACTTTGGAGCTGACTGTGGTATTTCAGAATCATTGAAGGGAATCCTGAAACATCAAGCATCAAGTCCCATCTATGTGGGACTGATTTCCTGTGCCTCAGTCCCTTCTTTAAATGGGCTGGCATCAGAGCAAAAGGTTTACAGTGATGTTACAACTTTTAGAACAGGAAGGAGGCACAGCCCAGGTAAAGACTGGGGGTGAAAAAGCCTTGTGTGTTTTAGACAAGTTGGTTCTCCCCATCGGAGCATCTTATGCTGCAATACAGAAAGGATCAAAGGGAAGTCATGGGATGAGCATGGTCAACACTCCACAACATGCACTCATAGAAGGACTGTTGTATGTCAGGCATGGGTCTAGGTTCACAACGGTGAACAAAATGGGGAAAAACATTCTACAGTGGGAACCATAGACAAGTAAGTGAAATATACAGGGCATCATGGTAATAAGTGCTATGGAGAGGATAAAGAAGGAAGGGAAGGATGATGGAATTTTAAGCCAGGCAGGCAGGGGAGGGCAGGGCAGGCCTCTGTGAAGATATGCCACTGGAAGAAAGACACAATGGAGTAAACCACACAGATATAATGAGGAACTGTGCTCTTTGAAGAGGGCACTGCAAATGCAAAGGCCCTGAGGCAGGACCTAACCTGATGTGTTTGAGGCACATGGGGGAGAAGGTCCTTGAAGAGTGCATGGAATGAAGATGGGTAGAGAGAAGACAGTGAAGGTATGTTGGGGTTTGTTTTAATGAGTTATTGATTCATTACTGCTATTATAAAGGTCAAGTCATTAAGGAAGGCAAATGAGCTGGAAGCACTATAAAACTGTAACAGCAAAAAGGAGACCAAGGTGAAGAGTTGACTGAGGTGACCTGAACATTCTTACTTCAGAAGCTTTCCTGAAGGTAACGGGAGCTCACAGGACACTATACTGGGGGCTAATTAAGGGTCAGTAAGTCTGGGAGATAATGGTAGTCAACACGAATAGGCAGTCATAATGTAATTATAGGGGTCAGAAGACAATGTGCTGTATGAAAGTTGGAAACACTCTAGTGGTGGCTAATAAGGGGGGGGTACCATTCATGGTGCTAGAGGATAATGGGGGAGTCAACATACACTCTGAGGTTTATATCTGTATACATAAATATTTTTTTTACTGTGGCATCCCTTTCTTGATAAAAATATGCAATGGGGGATTAGATATGCAGACTATGTTTGATTCAACAGAAGAATGACACACAAAATTCTGTTAGGCAATGTGTTCTGCAACAAACATCTCACAGAACTTAGGGTTTATCGTTATCGTATATATTATGCTGTTCTACCATTCAACTTGTTGGTATATTACCTATTCCACAGTAAACAGGATTATCATTAACATGACTTCACATAATGTTTCCAGTGCAGAATTTGCTAACAGAGTTCCATTACAGTTTTCAAGAGAAGGCTTCTTCTAATGTACCAAACTGACAAAGTTCCTTCTCAGTATGAATACCCCAAGGTTTACTGAGGCTGGTGACAATATGGGAAGGGGTCCTCCCATTCAGTCCTTTCAGAGGTCCTCTTCTGTATAGTAATGTATGACATTCTGATGGGGCATTTCTAGTTACGATAATATGCATATTTTTCTGTTGCACAAATTCCATAATGTAAAATAAAATTTGATCTCACTGAGGTTTTCTCAGGATGTTTCTCTCAAGTATGAATACTCTGATGCACACTGAGAACTGATTTCTGAACGAAGCCTTTCCCACAGACTACACACTTATAGGGTTTGTCTCCAGTGTGTGTTGTCTGGTGTTTGTTCAGATTTGATCTGTCAGTGAAGGCCTTCCCACACTCAGCACACACATAAGGCTTCTCTCCTGTGTGAATTCGTTGATGCACTTGGAGCTGTGATTTCTTAGTGAACGATTTACCACAGTCACTGCATTCATAAGGTTTCTCTCCAGTATGAATCCTATGATGTATAATCAGTTCTGACTTTTGTCTGAAGGTCTTCCCACATTCAGAACAGATGTAGGGCTTTTCTCCGGTATGAGTTTTCTGATGTTTACTGAGATTTGACCTGCCACTAAAGGCTTTCCCACATATAGCACACACGTATGGTTTTTCTCCTGTGTGAATTGGTCGATGCACCAGGAGCTGAGACTTGGAGGTGAAGGATTTCCCACAATCATTGCATTCATAAGGTTTCTCCCCAGTATGAATTCTCTGATGAGTAATAAAGTTTGACTTCCGGATGAAGGCTCTTCCACACTCAGTGCACACATAGGGTTTCTCTCCTGTATGAATTTTCTGATGCACAATGAGTATTGATTTCTGGTTGAAGGCTTTCCCACATTCATGGCATTCATATTGTCTCTCTCCAGTGTGAATTTTCTGGTGTATATTGAGGTGTGACTTCTGGGTGAAGGCTTTTCCACAGGTATTGCATTCATAAGGTTTCTCCCCAGTATGAATTCTCTGATGTGTAATCAAGTCTGACCTTTGTGTGAAGGCCTTGCCACATTTAGGACATATATAGGATTTCTCTCCTGTATGAGTTTTCTGATGTGTAATGAGATTTGACCTGTTGGTAAATGCCTTCCCACATTTAGTGCACATATAAGGTTTCTCTCCTGTGTGAATTCGTTTATGCACGTGAAGCTGTGACTTGGAAGTAAAGGATTTCCCACAATTACCACATTTATAAGGTTTCTCTCCTGTATGAATTATTTGATGGGCAATCAAGTGTGCCTTCTGGATGAAGGCTAGCCCACATTTCATGCATATATATGATTTTTCTCCTGTATGAATTCTCTGATGCACTGTGAGTGCTGACTTCTGAGTGAAGGCTTTTCCACAATCACTGCATTCATAAGGTTTCTCTCCGGTGTGAATTCTCTGATGTATAATCAACTCTGACCTGTACGTAAAGGCCTTACCACATTCAGTACATATGGAAGATTTCTCTCTCATTTGTACTTTCTTATGTGTATTGAGGTTGGAACTACTGTTGAAAACCTTCCCATATTCGTTGCATATAGACGGTTTCATTCTTGTGTGAGTTCGTTGATGTACCTGCAGTTGTGACTTGGAAATGAAGGACTTCCCACAGTTACCGCATTCATATGGTTTTTCTCCAGTATGAATTCTTCGGTGTGCAATCAAGTGTGTCTTCTGGATGAAGGCCTGTCCACATTCAATACATATATAGGATCTCTCGCCTGTATGAATTTTCTGATGCATCTTGAGTGTGGACTTCTGCGTGAATGCTTTGCCACAATCACTGCACTCATGGTGTCTCTCTCCAGTATGAATTTTCTGATGTATACTAAGATCTGAGTTATAAGAGAAGCCTTTCCCACATTCACTGCATTCATAGAGTTTTTCTCCAGTATGAATTCTCTGATGCCTGAAAAGAGAAGATACTTGGAAAAAGGCTTTCCCACATTCACTGCACTTATAGGGCTTCTCTCTAGTATGAGTTCTCTGATGTGTAATGAATTCTGGCTTCTGTACAAAAGCCTTTCCACAGTCAATACATACATACAGTTTTTCTCCTGTATGCACTTTCAGATGTACCTTGAGTTGTGACTTCTGGGTGAAGATATTTCCAAATTCAGCACATTCATAAGATTTTGCCCCAGTATGACTTTTCTGATGTTGACAGGGTACTTGTTTATAGCTGAGGATTTTTCCACATTGATTATGGCCCCATAATTTCTCTCCTGTTGGAGTACATTCATGTTTAGTACAGGAAGAAATTTTACCATATTCAGTAATCTTATTAATGTTCTTTGATCCACTATTTCTATTATGACTGTGTAAATCTAAATTATGGCTTAAAGCACTTCCATATAAGTCACACTGATGAGGTTTCTTTGGGGAAGGAATGTTTTGGCTCACATGAATTATTTTTCTGTCTTTATATTCATAATCCCTCTTTATAGTCAATATTTTCTTGATGAAAGCAACATCTCTTAAAGATTTGTTTTCTCTTTGTTGATAGCTCTCTATCTGGTCATCAATCTGCCACAATTCTTCTAGAATAAAATACAATAAAACGTCACTTGTAGCATCACCTTTCCTCTCAATGTAGAAAGAAGTTTTTCAGAAATTCTCTGTGAGGTTTGAAACCGAAACTCTCCTTCTCAAAGGAGAATGAGATGATTTTAGCTCAAAGAGCAGCTAGCAGAGGCAAGGGAAGAGGGTCATATGGTTCATCCAGATTGAACACAGTGAAAAGGGTGAGGGTGAATCACTGGCTGAGAAGACTTGGTGATAGTGGTGACAGGAAACATTCTGGGATACAATTCAGTTTATTTAGAAAATAAACTTTATGAACTCAATGCACTGTGCCAGGAAGTGAAAAAAGGCAAAGAACAAGATATATAGCACAATAATATTTATATAAACTAATAATACATACCACAAGTCACTTTAAATGTGAACTTAAAAATATGTTTCTATCATATACAACAACTGCCTATGATGGGAAGTGAGATGAGTATGGGGAAAAGAAGGAATAATGAATAAATTGAAAAAATAAAATAATAAGAGAATCCTTACCCATACTGATGATGATAGTGTGTCCTGAATGAAGATATGATTAAAGTCAAACCTCATCATGTGAAGTATAGAAATAAAGCAATTTCAAAAATCAGCCAACCAGGCAGACAGCCCCCAGTCAGTGTGAAGTCTCAAGCAACCTTGGAAGGAAGTCAGAAAGGTACTCCTAAAGGTTAAGCAACAGTGACCTCTAAGTCATCAGTTGGATTAAAGACATGGGGAATGGGAAAGTGAGAAATCTTAAGTCAGTGACTATGGAGAAAAAAGGAAGAGAGCATGATTGGAGATAAAGTTCCAAAGCATCTCACAATGAGAAAGAAAGAAATGAAAGAGGTCTAGCAGGAGTGGGAGTGTGTGACATATAGTAACTTTTAAAGAAAGCAAATCCATGAATAGCTGAATACATAAAGAATGAATCTTGGACAATGCGGAAGGCAGAAAGAAAAAAAGAACGTTAGAGAAAAGGAGCATAACCAAGAAAAAAAGAAAATACTTATTGAGGCAGATTGGCATGTGATCCAGACGCCAAAAAGCCAAGGAAGAAGACAGTTAGAAACGACAAAGGCATTTTTATAGAAGGCATTTGGTTATTTAATAGGCCGATATCAAGGGTCCTCAAATAATACAAAAAAATCAGAACCTTCCAGAAGAGTCAGCTTAAAAGCATTTGAAAGATGCCAGTCTTTCTCAAGATAGCTGAGATTTACTTCCCTGTCTCCCATCAGTCTGGGTCACACTCACTCACCTGGACAGCTCTGATGTGGGCTCTCACCCTGCAGTGCCCATGGCTCTTTTCCTTGCTCCAACATGAAAACCTCTGTTTCAGGAACTTGATACCCTGTTCATGAGAAATGATAGAAGGTCTGGGTCCAGCTAATTGTGTTACAGAGCCCAACCAATAGTCTTGTTCAATGAGGCTTTGTTCTACAGGGAAGTAACAGTGTATCTCTGAGAACAGAGTACAGTTAACCCTTGAACAACAGGGCTTTGAACCACATGGGTCCAACTTATAAATGGATTTTACCAAAAATATTGGAAAATCTTTTGGAGATCCGTGACAATTTGAAAAAACTCAAACAAACTTCATAGCCTAGAAATAACAAAAAATGTTTTAAAAAAGTTAGGTATGTCATGAATTTTGTAGCCACCTCCTATTGCTATTGCAGTGAGCTCAGTGCTGTAAATATCCACTTAAAATGCCCTAATCATTGCCTCATGAGCAGTCCCTCTCTCCAGTAAATTGTGTATAGCAGTAAAAAGTAATCTCTCTGGGTTCTCACATATGTTTCATGTTTATTGCAATACCATAAACCTTGAATAATATCACGGGACCCATACTAACATACTAAGTGCCACTAGCAATGCCGGAAATGCTCCCAAGAACAGAGAAAATTCATGACGTCATAAGAAAAAGCTGAATTGCTTGATTGAGGCCTGCAGCTGTTGTTGCCAGCCATTTCAAGATAAATGAATTAAGTGTAAAAACCATTGTAAAAAAAAAAAAAGAAATACATGAAACATATACCAGCAGACACAAAAACCCTGCATCTTTTTTTTTTTTTTTTGGCCGCACCACATGGCTTGTGGGATCGATCCTAGTTCCCCAACTAGGGAGGACTGAATCCAGGCCCTGAGCAGTGAGAGAGTAGAGACCTAACCATTGGACTGCCAGGGAATTCCCACCATGTACTTTTTGAGAAACACTTTTTTTTAATCTTGTATTAAAAATGTAGTTTTTATGTGGGTATAGGATTGTTATAAGAAAAGCATTCCAGGACTTTGCTGGTGATCCAGTGGCTAAAACTCCACGCTCCCAATGCAGGGGGCCTGGGTTCGATCCCTGGGCAGGGAACTAGATCCCACATGCCACAACTAAGAGTTCACATGTACAACTAAAGACCCCACATGCCACAACAAAGATCCTGCATGCTGCGACTATGACCTGGCACAGCCAAATAAATAAATATATTTTTTAAAAGCTTATCTATGGATTCTAATATGATTTGAGAAAAAGCAAAGTCATTATATGGTAACTTAAAGCAAAAGAAGGTGAAGGGCTTAAAGCTAGAGGATTTAATGCCAGTAAAGGATGGTTTGATAATTTTAGAAAGAGGTTTGACTTTAAAAAGAGATAGGAGAGGGCTTCCCTGGTGGCGCAGTGCTTGAGAGTCCGCCTGCCGATGCAGGAGACGCGGGGTCGTGCCCCGTTTCGGGAAGATCCCACATGCCGCGGAGCGGCTGGGCCCGTGAGCCATGGCCACTGAGCCTGCGCGTCCGGAGCCTGTGCTCCGCAAATGGGAGAGGCCACGACAGTGAGAGGCCCGCATAACGCAAGAAAAAAAGAGATAGGAGAAGCAGCTTCTGATGACCAAAAGGCAGCAGATAAGTTCCTAGATGCCATAAAGAACATCATTCAGGAGAAAAAAGATATCTGCCTGAACTGGTTTTTAATGCAGATGAAAGTGCCATATTCTGGAAAAAATGCCACAAAGGACTAAGGAAGAGAAGTGAGCACCAGGACAGGAACCTAAATCCTAACTAACTCCCCTGTTTCGTGCAAGTGCAGTCAAGTTTATGATTAGGACAACCCTTATCTATAAAGCTGCTAACCCCTAAGCCTTGAAAGGAAAAGATAAATACCAGCTGCCAGTCTTTTGGTTGTAAAACAAGAAGGCCTGAACAACAAGAACTTTCTTTCTGAATTGGTCCCATTGATGCTTTGTCCCTGGAGTCAGTAAGTACCCAGCCAGCAAGGGACTGCCTTTTGATATTGGACAATGTCACTGGTCACCCAGAACCCCATGAGTTCAACACCAAAGGCATCGAAATGGTCTACCTGCCCCCAAACACAACATCTCTAATTCAGCCCCTAGATCAGGGGGTCACAAGGACCATTAAGGCTTATTACACATGGTAGTCTATGGAAAGGATTGTCAACACAGTGGAAGAGAAACTTGATAGAGAGAACATCATAAAAGGCTGGAAGGATTACACCACTGACGATGCCATCGTTGTTATAGAAAAAGCCATGAAAGCCATCAAGCCTGAAACAATAAATTCCTGCCAGAGAAACTGTGTCCAGATGTTGTGTATGACTGCATAAGATTTACAACAGAGCAAATAAGGGAAATCAAGAAAGACATTGTGAATAAGGCAAAAAAGGTGGGGGTGAGGGTGTGGAGGATTATCTTGGAGAAATTCAAAAGCTAATAGACATCACAGCAGAGGCTTGATGAATCTGAGGGCTTTCGAACCAATGCCAGATGATTAGAAAGAAAACATGAAGAAGCAATGCCAGAAAACAAGTTGACATTAGACAGTCTGGCAGAAGCGTTCAGATTTACTTAAGACTGCTTTTGACTTCTTTTACCACATGGACCTTTCTATGATATGGGCACTGAAACTAAAGCAAATGGTGGAAGAAGAGTTGGTATGATATAGAAATATTTTTAGAGAAATGAAAAAGCAAAAAAGTTAGAAATTATGATGTATTTCCATAATGTTACATCGAGTGTGCCTGTATCTCCTGCCTCCCCTCTTCCACCTCCCCCACTTCTTCCACCTCTGCCATCCCCGAGACAGCAAAACTAACTCCTCCTCTTCCTTCTCCTCCTCAGCCCATTCAATGTGAAGACAACGAGGATGAAGACCTTTATGATGATCCACTTCCACTTAAAAAGCAGTAAAGAATCATCATGCTGTACAGTTAATAAACTTATCTATTGTGTATACATGTGTCTTCCTGTAAAAATCTAATAACTGTATGGCAAGAACTGTATGAGGAGTTTGTGTGTCATCATCATCATCATTGACCAAGTATTCATCACGTAGAACATCATGTACAAGACTTGTATTGAGGTGGACAGCCTATCTTTACATAGGCATAAGGTGAGTGCCATTTAATATAAAATTAATAATGTGTTAGTTTTCTTACTGTTTTATAACTCTGCTTTCCAAGAAGTGCATTATTGTACAGTATGCCTCTCTTGTAATTGGAGAAATTGTGTATCAGCCTATCATCACAGGTAAGTGGTTTTTTCTTAATGTAACAGTGTTTCCAATACTGCATTATGAATATGACTATAATACTGTATGCCATAAAAATTTTATAACACTTTATTCATTACTGTATAGGCTAGGCTACCATGAAACCATCATATCAATTACACTAGGCTACCATAAAGCAATCATATTGCTACTTCTTCATTATCGATACATGAATCATTCATTACACCTATAAATAAACATGAATTTCTTTTTCACATTACCTTTTCATTTTTGATGTCTAGTGTTGTAATATATATAACATCTATAGTGCTTTGTATCATTTAAGACAATATTGATGTAGGCATTGACAGACGATTCACCTTATAAATAGATGACATAAACTTATGGTATTGATAAATACAGTACAGTAAATGTATTTTCTCTTCCTTATGATCTTCTTAATAACATTTTCTCTAGCTTACTTTATTGTAAAAATACAGTATACAATACATATAACACACAAAATATACGTTAATTGACTATTTATGTTATTGGTAAGCCTTTCAGTCAACAGTAGACTATTAGGAGTTAAGTGTTTGGCAAGTCAAAAGTTGTATGTGGGGCTTCCCTGGTGGCACAGTGGTTGAGAGCCCGCCTGCCGATGCAGGGGACACAGGTTCATGCCCCGGTCCGGGAGGATCCCACATGCCGCGGAGCGGCTGGGCCCGTGAGCCACGGCCGCTGAGCCTGCGCGCCCGGAGCCTGTGCTCCGCAACGGGAGAGGCCACAACAGTGAGAGGCCCGTGTACCGCAAAAAAAAAAAAAAAAAAAGTTGTATGTGAATTTTCAACTGTGCCAGATCTGCACCACTAACCCTTGTGTTGTTCAAGGGTCAACTGTAAAATTCAGAGTGCCCAAAAGGGATAAAGAATCCTGGACAAATCAAGGACAAAACCGTCATATAAGTCAGGTGTCTCACAGCATTCAGCAACTGAGAATAAAAACACTCTCAGTGGGGCCCTTCTTTCAGACACTCAGGAAACTGTGCTTACCTACTGAGAGCAGGTGGCTATAGGTCTCCAGCATCACATCCCGGTACAGGTTTTTCTGATCAAGGTCTAGCTGCTGCCACTCCTCTCTGCTGAAATCTACAGCCACATCCCTGAAGGACACTGATCCCTGTAAGGGCACATTCCTGTTCAGCATGAATAGTTAGTTTTGGGTGATGGAGACACTATATTTAGGAATATGGAATTTAGGTTTTGTTGTTATTAATTTACCTCCTCTTTTTAAAAACTCACCCCCCATTTCCCTAACATTTTATTATGAAATTTTACAAACATACAGAAAATTTAAAATAATTGTGTAGTGAAAACCTATATAACCACCACTTAGAATCTAGCCCTAACAATTTACTCTACTTGTTTTACCACACATTTACCCATCCTTTTACCCATCCATCAATCCATATTACTTTTTTGTGCATTTCAAAGTAAACTATAGATGCCAGTACACTTCCTCCTAAATACTTCAGAATGCAAATCATTAAGTAGAGTATAACATTTTTTTACCTTTTTTAGGTAAGCTTTACATACAATGAAATGCACAAGTCCTCAGAGTACCATTTGAAGTTTTGACAAGTGCATACACCTGTGTAATCCAGGAACTTTTAAAAAAATGGTATTGCATATAGGGTGTATATTAAATATCTAGTTTTACATAATATTTTATGGAAGAAAGAAAGCCAGTAAAGAATTTCTGCTATTGTTCTATACTATGGTCAGTCAATTACTCATTTTTCAAAACTGAAGATTGAAATAGGCTCTCTTGTAGTTTTCTAGCAACTGGATGAATGACCTGTGATACAATTTCTGAGCAATTTAGGACCAGCCATTATGCTAGCCCTGGGAACACAAATATGAATTATTTATGTTTCTAATCTTCTAGCAACTTAAAAGACTTGGAAAATAAACAAGACCTATGTTTTAAAAGAAAAGTAAAAGAAGACACAAGTTCACTAAAGTGTCAAAAAGTAAATCTCTATGTGGAACACACTGAGGTCCCCAAAAAGGAAAAATACATTCCACATGGGGGTGTAAGTTTATTATTAGTTGAGGAATTTAAGTTGGAAGATGAGAAGTATAACACAGAATGGGGAGGTGAGGAAGGTCATTTCCCAGAAAAGACAAGCAAAGGTGTGGATATAGGAAAATACATGATGAGTTTGGAGAATAGCAAATAGCTCTATGTAAATGAAGAGAAGTCTGCATGACAAGCCAGGAAGGTGGTTATGGGGAAAACAGTCTGCTCATAGAACAAGTATGAATTTTCCATTTTAAGTAAAAGTAATTAAGGTAGTCAGATTTATATTAAACATTTTTTTGTATAAGATCTGTATTGCAGAATAACCAAATAAATGATGAGGCACAGTTCCTTACAAAATGGTTTCTGGCTAATAAATGAAGAAGTTAGGATAGAATTAGAATACCATCATCTCATAACTCCTAATGAAATAATGAGTTTAGACAATAATCATTAAGGGTTGCTCAACTGTTTCAGGTGAAAGGCTGAAGAGAAGTTTAAAATGGATGAGTCAGCTAGTAATAATGGCATCCACTCATCAATTTTAACATCACAAAGAGAGATAACCACGTATTATGTGCCTCCTGACATGATATAGTAATTAATTTCATACCACCCATTAAGTACTTTTACAAAATATAAAGAAAAATACAACCTGAATCTCATTAAGCCTCCAGATCCAACAAATCATTCATAAGTAATATGAAGTATAGAGGAATATGTTGAACAATATCAAGACCAAAACATGAGCTAAATCCAGAAGGCAGAAAATGACCTGTTTCTTCAAAAAATAAATTACAATAGAAAAAATATGGAGGAGAATCTTTTCTTTATTAAAAGAGACTTCAGAGTCATACTAACCAAATGCAACTTGTGGACCGTGTCTGGCTCTTAATTAAAGCAAACTAACATGAAAAAGATATTTATGGCATGTTTCAAATTCAAATAATAACTGGATATCAGATGATACCTAGGAATTATTGATATTATGTTTTAGGTGTGATAATGGCTTAATGGTTATGTCAAACAAAAAGGAAGAAAAAAAGAATTCTCATCTCTTAGAGATATATATCAAAGTAGTCACAGATACAATGGTTTTGGGGATTTACTTTAAAATAATCTAGCAGCTGGGGAGGAGGGTAGTTTTAGACAATATAAGAATGACAGAATGTTGATCACTAATAAAGCTGAGTGATAGGTACAATAGATACATGGGCTCCTTATACTATTCTCTTTACTCTTGAATACATTTACATTTTTTTCACAGCAAAATGTTTTTTAAAAAACATGATCTTCCATATTAAAAAAATCTCATCTGGAAATGCATAATTGAAGGAATGGCTATTTCCACCTGGAGTCAAACACTTAAAAAAGGGATCTATAGAGACCTGAACAGCCCACACTCAGTAAATTATAGAAATAATAGACAGGGTATTATCAGTGATATAGAAAAACAAACTACAGGATCTAATCAATATTTACAGAATACTCCAACCAACAACAGCAGAATACACATTCTTTTCAGGCATCCATAGAACAATGACCAAGACAGACCATATCCCAGGCTGTGAAATAAATCTCAACTGGAAAGAAATGAAATAATATGAAGTATATTCTCTGAAAATAATGGAATCAAACTAAAACTCAATAACAGAAAGACAATAGAAAAATCTCCAAAGGAATTATATTAGAAAACAGTAACAAAAACTATCTGGAAAGTCTGGAAATATCTGGAAATTAATCAACACACTTCTAAATAACCTATAAGTCAAAGAAGAATCCTCAAAAGAAATCTAGAAAATACATAGAACTGAAAGAAAGTGAAAATACAATGTATCAAAATCTGTGGGATACTGAAAGGGAAATTTATAGAAAAGGGGAAACAAACGATCCAAGTAAAAAATGGGCAGAGAATCTGAATAAGACATTTTTCCAAAGAAAATATACAGAGTGCCAACAGATAATGAAAACGTGCACAACGTCACTAATGATCAGGGTAATACAAGTCAAATTCACAATGAGATATCACCTTACACCTGTCAGAATGTAACAACAAAACAACAAACCCAAGAAATAATAAGTGCTGGCAAAGATGTGTAGAAAAGGGAATCCTTGTGCACTACTGGAAGAATGTCAATTGGTGCAACCACTATGGAAAATACTATAGAAGCTCTTCAAAAAATTAAAAATAGAACTGCCATATGATCCAGCAATTCCATTACTAAGTATTTACCCAAAGGAAATGAAAATGTTAACTTGAATAAATATACACACCCCCATGTTCACTGCAGCATTATCCACAATGGCCAAGACATGAAAGCGACCTAAGTGTCCAATGATGGGTGAATGGATAAAGAAAATGTGGTATTTATATATGCATTGGAACATTATTCAGCCATAAAAAAGAAGGAAATCTTGCCATTCTCAACAGCATGGATGGACCCTGAGGGCATTATGCTAAGTGAAATAAGTCAGACAAAGAAGGACAAATACCGCATGATCTCACTTTATGTGGAATGTAAAAAAAACAGCAACTTAAGTCATAGATACAGAGAATAGACTGGTGGTTGCCAGAAGCAGGGGGTGGGTGGTGGGTAAAATGGGTGAAGGTGGTCAAAAGTATAAACTTCCAGGTATAAAATAAGTCACAGGGACGTAATGCACAGCATGGTAACTATAACTATAGTTAATACTGGATTGTATATTTGAAAATTGCTAAGAGAGATCCTGAAGGTTCTCAACACAAGAAAAAATATTTGTAACTATGTGTAGTGATGAATGATAACTAGATTTATCGTAGTGATCATTTCACAGTATATACAAATATTGAATAATGTTGTATACCTGAAAATAATATGTTATACGTCAAGTACACATCAATTTTTTAAAAAAGGAAAGGGGAAAGGTCTCAAGTCAATAATCTAAATTCCTACCTCAAGAAACTAGAAAAAGAAAAGCAAAATAAACCCAAAGCAAGCACAAAGAAGAAAATAATAGAAAGCAGGTATCAAGGAAATTGAAAACAAAATTAAAAAAAAAAAAACTTGAGAAAAATCAATAAAACACAATGTAGTTATTTTGAAAAAAAATCAATAAAATTGATAAATCTTGCTGACTGACCTAGTAGTCAACCAGACTGACAAAGATAAAAAGATACAAATTACCAATGTCAGGAATGAATATCGTTACAGATCTGGCAGCCATTAAAAGAAAAATAAGGGAATACAAAAATTCTATGCTAATAGAGTCAGCAACTTAGAAGAAATGGACCGATTCCTCAAAAACCACAACTACCAAAACTCAACATTATGAAATACATAAGTTGATAATCCCATAAACCATTAAATTAAATTAAAATAATAATTTAAAAGCTCCTGGAAAAAAAAGTCTCCAGGCCCAGATAGTTTTTTTTTTGTTGTTGTTGTTTTTTTGCTGTGCCGTGCAGCATGCAGGATCTTAGTTCCCCAACCAGGGATCAAACCCGTGCCCCTTGCAGTGGAAGCAGAGTCTTAACCACTGGATCACCAGGGAAGTCCCGAGATAGTTTTACTAGAGAATTCTACTAAACTTCTAAAGAAGAGTTAGTCTCATTTTTACACAATCCCATCCAGAAATTAAAAGAAGAGGAAACACTTCCCAACTAATTTTGGGGGGGCCAGTGTTATTATCCTGATACCAAAGCACTACAAAGACAGTACCAAAAAGAAAACTACAGACCAATATCTCTTGTGAACTTAGATGCAAACATCCTAAATGAAATACTGCCAAATTGGATCCAGCAATGAATAAGAAGAATCATGCATCACAATAAATTGGAATTTATGGGAGAATTCTCTGTACTATATTCTGCATGCCCTTTGAATCTATAATTATTTCAAAATAAATAAAACGTTGAAAAAATATATTGAAGAAAGTTTATTCTCATAACAGAGCATTTTGAAATGGGCAAGACCAGAAAATAAGTCACGAGAACCACTGCACAATTCAGGTGAGAGAATACAAATTTCTTACTTATCTAAAGTAAGGCTGTAGTAAGGCTATAGAAGAGATTGATACTAATTATTAAGGAGGTAAAAGTGATACTGAGTGTGAAGGTGAGAAAAAAGACTCAGATAACTCTCAGTTATCAGTTTTGTGTTGCTGTAGATTCTGAGGTCACAGATGAATTTAAGGACTAGAGGAGGAGGCTGGGGGAAAAAGATAAATAATATATTTTGTACATACTAAGATTTAAGTGATAAGACATATACAAGGATGGACTCTAGGCAGGTGGATAGAGAGCTAGTATGGAGATGATCATTCAGGAGTTGAATATACAGAGCAGGTCACTGAATTCAGGGTAGGGAATGAGCATGCAGGAAGGACACAATAGAGAAAGTATTAAAGATACTTGTGGGGTTTTTTTTTGATACTTGTGGTTTTTAATGTCTAAAATTATGAATGCGCAAGCTATCATTTTTGTTTGTTTGTTTGTTTGTTTTTTTGCAGTATACGGGCTTCTCATTGTTGTGGCCTCTCCTGTTGTGGAGCACAGGCTCCAGACACGCAGGCTCAGAGGCCATGGCTCACGGGCCCAGCCGCTCTGCGGCATGTGGGATCTTCCCCGACTGGGGCATGAACCCGTGTCCCCTGCATCGGCAGGCGGACTCTCAACCACTGCGCCACCAGGGAAGTCTGAAAGCTATCTTTTTTATTTCTTCATTTAACTACGTTCAGAATTACAGTTTGCTTCTTTGTGATGTGTTGATTCTGTTTATGGGGCTTAGAACATTGTCATTTCTTTGAAAATGTTCTTTATATACTTGAAAAGAATACACATACTCTAATTTTTCTCTTTCATACACTTGCATATTCACAACCTACTCACATCAAAACCCTGGCCCCTAAACCCTATGTCATCAAGAATTAAATGGGGAATCAAGAAGATGTCATATTCGTAGCTTTGACTCCACACCAAATGAGGTTCTTATAAACAATCTGCCCAGGAAAAATCTCATTACTCAAAGATAACAGTAAAAATCTCCTAATGTACAAACGCATAGCTTTGACTCCACACCAAATGAGGTTCTTATAAACAATCTGTCCAGGAAAAATCTCATTACTCAAAGATAACAATAAAAATCTCTTAATGTACAAAGATATTATAAGCAAAAAGAATGAAAAGAGAGAGATTAAAAGGAACATGCTAGAAATAAATTGCCACACAATAAAACACATTCACCATGAATTCACTAAAACAATCAACTACTTAATGAAATAAATAGGGATATAAGAGTCCAAAGAAGAAATAATGAAAAAACAGGTTAAGAAAATGGTTATTTAAATTTTTGAAAAAAAAATGGCAGAACTCAATAAAGAAGTAAAAAAGAAAGAAAAAGCACAGAAATGAAGGTCTCTCTGAAAGCAATAAAAACATTCTATGAAAACACAAAAAGTGACAAGAGCAAATTAAGACAAATAAGCAACATGAAATGGAAATAAGGACTTTTAAAGTAAAATAGAAAAAAAAAACAAAAATAGAGTTTAATAAAAATATCCAACAAACAAAAGAATCCTTGAAGTAGTAGTATAGAACTCTTATCATTATTCACAGTACAAATTTAATAGATATTGTCTAAAAGAGTAAAAGATTTAGTTCAAAAAGTTAATGCGATAAAGGTGACACTAAGAGAACTAACCAAACAAAAAAGAATCTAAACCCTCCTAATTACCAGAATGACACAGAAACAAAAGCAAGAAATACAGAGTATACAGTGAAAGATACATAAAAGAAACATCCACATCAGAAGTGTAACATAAAAAGCATCTTTCCACTGCTGTACAGAGAAATGCACAAGGACTCCAAAGGCTGACAGTAAAAGGATAAGCAAAAGGAATATTTGGATATGCCAACAGAAAGGAAATAACAGCCTCCATCTTAATATCAGACAGAGCTGAATTCTAAGAAAAGATATTAAACAGGACAAGGATACAATCCAAAATGAACTTGAGACATCATTACTATCACTGCATCAAATTACATAGCATCAAAATTTATAAACAGAAACTATAGGCAATACAGATAGAAATATACTCATTGTGGGAAACTTTAAATAATATCTCTCAGCTCCAGGAGATAAAGAGGAAAAAATAAGCCATATTGTAAAAACCTCCTAACTACATATTTTATTGATAACAAAGTCTATATCTGGAAACATTATTTTCAAGTGACTCTGTAACATTTAGAAATATTAAACATAAAATTTGCACACATACACAAAGTTAACATTCCAAAAGCAGAATAAAATCAATGCAAACAAATCTCTCCAAAGGTGCAATCCTAATTTTATTAAAAGGATTAAGTAAAAATCTTAACACCTACAAGTGAAAACGTGGTAAATGGTAATTAAAGATTTGATGGGAAATTTAGTATGTTCCTAGAAATCCACCCATTTCATCTAGATTTTAAATTGAGATAAGTTATTTTTCTAGATTATTTTTGGACATTGTTTTGCTGTGAGTAGTTAATACATTTCATTTCTGAATCTATGTTCATAATTTTCAGTTCTTTTACTGTCATTGATGGGTTTAGACATCAAGGTTAATATGGTAAACAAAATAAAACAAACACCAAAAACAACGTTGGGAATAATTTTAGATATCTTTACACAAACCTTTGTTGTAAAGATCAAACTACTCCCAGAATGAATTTCCACCCCCTGGAATTCCTCCTCCTCACCTCACATGAACTGCCATGTTCCTCTGGAGCCAGGCCCAGGGATTTCTGGTATGAGGTCCAATTAGCTGGCATGGTCATGCTGGGTCTCAACCTTTATTCTCTCAGGAATCTAAAGTTTGGTGGACATCTGTAAACTCAAGCAGAGCTGCTAAGAAGAGGTGAGGTGGAATCTGGAGGAAGATTTGACCCAGGGGCTCCCTGGAAAGATAATGTCCACATGGTCAGTCATCACATAAACATCTCCAGTGAACTCCAAGGTGTAGTTTCCTGAGCTAGACACCACAGGACAGTGGTTCTCAAGCTTGAGTGTGCATTCGAATCACCTGGAGGGTTTGTTAAAATATAGTTAAAAATCCCCACACTCCCACCGTTTCTGATTCAGTAGGTCTAGGGTAGGGCCTGTCTCAGACTATTCGGGTTGCTCTAACAAAATACCACAGACTGGGTAGCTTATAAACAACAGAAATTTATTGCTCACAGTTCTGGAAGCTAGGAAGTCCAAGATCAAGTCCATGATCACGTTTTGATGAAGGCTCTCTTCCTGATTCATAGCCAGCACCTTCTAGCTGTGTCTTCACATGGTGGAAGGGGCTATGAAGCTTTGTGGTGTATCTTTTGTAAGAGCACTAATCCCATTCATCAGGGTTCTACTTTCATGACCTAATCATCCCCCAAAGGCCCCATCTTCTAATACCATACTTCTGGGTGTTAGAATTTCAACATATGAATTTGGGGGGAACAAACATTAAGAGCATAGCAGGGCCCAAGAATCTGCATTTCTAACTAGTACCCAGGTGATGCTAATGCTACTGTTCCAGGAACCATACTTTGAGAACCAGTGCTGTGGAGAACATGAAGTTTAACAAAATCTGTGATAGGTTATTAGTCATGGTAAAATATGGGAAAAAACATGAGATATGGAGTGACATTACTGAAGATTTGAATTGCAGCTCTACTACTTTTTGGCTATGAGAAAATGAATAAGTTATTTTTAGCTTCAGTTTCAAAAATGAGAATGAAAGTGCCTACCTCATAGAGTTACGAAAATGAAATGAGATGATGCTTACAAAATACTCAACACTTCCCTGGAATACAAAAAGCATGCAATAAATATCAGCAATTACTATGCACTATTAGATATTAAAAGTTAATATAAAAAACAATATAATCAAAGCAAGTAAAACAACAGACAATACTGATTTATGTATGTGACATTCAATTCAGTGTACACAAGACATTCATTGCATAAATGGTGCTGACATAACTGGCCTTCCACCTGGAACAAAACAAACTAGATCCCCATCACACACTATACATTAGACTGAATTCCAACAAGAGTAAATATTTTAAGTATATGTATTTTAAAAATCTCAAAGAATATTAAAATAAATTTTAGGAGTATATGTTTGTATAACATTCTGGTGGAGTCAGAGGGATCTTATTGTACATGAGAGAAAACCCAGAAACTATAAAAGAAAAAACAAATATTTCTGATTAGATATTTCCTAATTATATGTTAAAATATACCTTAAAAATAAAAATGAAGATATATATATATAAAAGTTTCAATATGTGATGACAGGTTATCCTTATTGTTAAAAAAAAAAATCTAGCAATCAAATGGAAAAAAAATTAAAGCCCAGGGGAAAAAAAGACAAAGGACATGAAAATTCACAGAAAAGTAAATTTAGATGCTAATTAACCAAAAAGGTGCCAACATTACTGACAGGAAAGTGCATTAGACCAATCAGACATAATTTTCCCTCAGAACTGTAAAAACTTTTTTTAAAATGCTGCAAAGCATTTTGGAAAATGAGCTCTTTTATAAATTGCTGGTGGGTGCTTAAATTGCTATAATATCTTTTGAGTTATTTAGTTATATCTATTATTGAAAATACACATAACTGCTCCTAATAATAGTTCCAAATATATAAAGCAGAAACTGGTTGAAGGAAGGGCAAGAGGATAAATAACCTTTCCAGTGTGAGTTTACCTTTCTCGGTAATTAATTAAGCAGACAAAATAATATATATAATGCAATCTATATGAAACAATACAATACAATTAATAAAGAATACAATTGTTTTTATGTAATAGATGTGACATTTATGAAAACTGACCCTGAACTGGGCCATAAGCAATTTTTACACTCGAGCGTCACCCAGAGGCATTATTTGAAATAGAGAATGGGTCAAAGAAAACATTAACTGAAATTCAAAAAACAAAAACCCAAACACTGAAATAGGAGCAATAAAGAAAATGCTTGTGAGTATTTAAAAAGCAAACTAATCACAGACCCCATAGATTCCCCATGCTGACGCCCCAGGCCCTATCACTGTCCACAGACTCCCATCACTGGGCCCCCAAATCCCAATCACTCATCTCAAAGATATTCACTATTGCCCAGGACCCCATCACTGACGTCCCTCTGACATGCAACAACGGACGCCACAGACCCCACCCCCCACCACTGAATCCCAAAACCACCATCACTAACTCCACGGACAAGCCTTCCATCATTGACCCCACAGAATTCCTAATTAAGAGCAACCAAAATCACCTCAGAGACCTCTCGGCATTAACGTAGGAAGATGCTCCTGACACAAGCAGCAAAAACGCCTCCGAGAGCCACTTCCGCTTCCAGTCGGGCCTCTAGCACCTTACGGACTGTTGGTATTGCGCATGCTCTGAATTACCCTGGAAGCCGCATTCCGCCAACAGTCAACACGGCGAAGAGACTTTGTTAGGGACCTTGCGCAGTTTCCCTGAGAGGCGCTGTTGGGCAGAGAACATGGCTGCACCCAGTGTGCTTCTGCGCGCGGGACGCCATCTTGGAAGCGTATCCATTCCGTATAGCGAAGGAAGAGGCCTCCTGCGGGTTTTTAGAGCGAGGCAGGGGTTGCCACCGAGCATGTGGGAGTGTGGCCCTGGACTAGGTGGGCTTCCGGGAGGAGGAAGGTATTGGAGATGGGGTCCCGAGCTCCATGATATGTTTAGAAAACCTAAATTGTCCCTCAGGAATCAGCACCGCGCGGAGAGCAATTACCTGCTTGGAGAAACCACCAGGAAGGTGGAGGGCCAGAAAGAAAAATGTCGCCAAGGGAGAAGGACAAACGTCTTATGTACCAAGACTGGATCCTGGGAGAAACCACCAGGAGATGAGGCGGGGGAAAGTCAGGGTGCTACAATCCACTTTTCGGAGAATGGAGAGGTCCGCCCCTGGACCAAGCCACTTGGCAACGGAGAAATGTTAGAATGGGCAATCCGCTGCAGGAAAGGTGGTACAGCCCTGAACGTGAGAAAGGACTGGGGGAAATAGGGTAGAATTCAGAGTAGTCCTATCCTTTCCAGAGAGATACAGCCATAGGAAGTTGTCACCTTCTAAACGGCTGGTGGGGTGAATGGAGACTTGATAAATCCCCATTAATCTTCGTTAGCCTTCACCTTAACTACTGCAAGTAAAACAATAGTAGGCAGCAATAATAAAAAATAATAACGGTCTTTAAGATGGTCAACGTGTGACTAAAAGCACTTAAGTAAAACTGCTATTTTTATTTATTTGTAAATTAAAATCTAAGTAATAACAATGTCCTTACTATATAAATGAAGCCTTAAGTCCAGTCTGACTGCTCCCTTAGCTTCTCCTATATGGAAATTCTGGAGCAGCTAACACTCTCCCTGTTACCATAACACAAGTCGGTGTGCTGACGCACAGTGAGGCCACACAATACCAAAACGTCAGAGTTTGGAACAGAGGAAGGGTTACTGCAGGGCCGTGCAAGGAGATAGGTGGCTCATGCCTTTAAAAACACCCCAAACTCTAAAAGCTTTCAGCAAAGCCCTTTTATAGGATAGGTGAAGGAGGGGCGTGCTTAGTTGTTGGAAGCTTCTTGGTGTCAGATCCTCTGTTCTTGAGATGAGGTCAAAGTCAGGTAACGATGTTCCTGTAAATCTCCACCAAGCAAATGTTACTCTCTGTTCTGAGAAGAAAAGGAAAGGTCCCAAGGCACAACTTTCACCCTTCGGGGTCCAGGCCTGGCTAAGAGAAGGGGGTCCCTGTGTGGGGGGGGGGGCAGTTACCCTGCCCTGGAGGGTTCGTCCAGCACCCAGTCTGGGTCCTCCCGCCAGTGCCCAGGCCTGGCTGAAGAGGTAGTTCTCAGTTGGTGGCTCCCTCAGGGCCAGGTCCTCAGACCCTGTCTAGCTGCTGTCATCGCTGAGGGAGCCAGGCCCCCAGGACCCAACTGGCCTTCAGGGTCCTCAGGCCGCCCTAACAGTGGGGGCCAGGTCCCACAGACCGTCTCCCATGCAGACTGCCTGTGCCATTAGGTCGCAGAGGCAGGGACGCAGGAGAGGTTCGCCACCACCTCAGGGTCTGGGCCCGGCCAGTGGGTGGTCTTGGCAAGGGCTCTGGAGCCCTGTAGAACACAGCCCCAGCCTGTTCCCTGGGCCCCCCAGCTCACCTGCCAGCTCGAGGCCGGATGAGCTGGAAGGCCCCCGGCAGAGAACCTGGATTTCCCTCTTACCTCACTCTCCACCTGACAACCCCCACTCCCCCAACGTTTGGCTCAGTGCCCCTCTAATGGTCACCTGTGCACAGTTGCTTGCTTGGGGGAGGGGCCCACTGCAGCGCCGACCAGTGGCTGAGCAGGACCTCTAATGCTGTTCTAATCATCTGCATTATTGGTCTCAGGTAACTGTTGTCTGGTAATGGGGTGCAGGGTAACAGAGGGCTGCACACTGAAGCACTGTATTACATCCCCACCCCCATCCCCTGCTTTTGGGGGACTATGAGTGGGAGTTGTAAAGACAGTAGTTAACAATATTGTATTGTATACTTGTAATTTGCTAAGAGAGTAGATCTTAAATATTCTAACCACACACACATTAAAAAAAAGGTAATTATGTGAGGTGATGAATGTGTTAACTAACCTTATCATGGAAATCATTTCTCAATATATCCATGTATTAAATCATCACGTTGTACATCTTAAATTTACACAATGTTATATGTCAATTATATCTCAATAAGGCTGGAAAAAATACATAAATTATCTCTTATCTGAATTATAATAACCCCTATATGGTTTACTTAATTTCAACCCCACCACCTGTGGCAGAGACAGCTATGTGCTACCCAATATACTATCTTTTTTATCCTAAATAACAGAATTCAGATTTTAATTGAAGCAGCAATGTGCTCAGCTG